CTATCAAAAGAAGTATATAATAATTTTTAAACATATTTTTCTATCGAATGAGGTGTATAACAATGTTTTAAATGTGATGCTTTTGTGTGAGAGAGATAGAGAAAGAAAGAAAGAGTTTTATATTGTCTCAGACTGTAAAAATTAAAAGAAGAATTATTTAATGTTATCCTTTAATTTGAGATGTTGAATCTAATAAATATACTATTATAAAATGTTTTCACATTTACTTTTAGTATGCTTTATTTTGAAATACAAATGCTGGGAGAAAGCAGTGACGGGCTTTAAGATTGTACGTGTTGCAAATCCTTGTTCATGGAAATAGAAATGATATATGCTATGAATCTAAGACAGCATACAAAATGTTGACCTAAATATAGGTAGTTACAAAATAATACAGCTCGGAGCTTCTTACTTCATTGATTGGTTGATTGATTGATTGTTGTTTGAAGTCCCATTCAAGAATTTTTCACTCATATAGAGACGTCACCGTATGCAGGTGAAGGGCTTCAAATTTATACCTATACTCGGCACTCAGGTCCATTGAGTAGTGAGGGTTCTTAATCATGCCAACGCCTACTGTGACACGAGACCTCGGTTTTTTAAAGGTGCTTAGACACAGATTTGAACTTAGTATTTTCTCAAATTTTCTGTATAATATCACGACTTATATATATTGCAGTAGCATTTCATTCGAAAATATAATAAAAAAACTTATTTCATCTGACAATTATTGGAATTACGAATTTTGGGACGCGTTTGGTTAACATATCCTTGCACTTTCACAAATTTTAATTTTATCCTTAATATTTAAGAAAAGTAGCAATTTTGTTGTGTATTAATGAAAAATATTACATGTATAATTCAGAAAATTCAGAGTAGAAATGTTCGAAAGTAAAACCCCACTCATAAGTACTGTCAGCCGTGCTCAGTGTTGTGTACAGAGTTTATAACGAATTGAACACACCCAGCACTAAAAGGTTCTGTAAACAGGGCACGAGCTCTGTTATTGTTAATGTTTACGATTCACCGAGTGTGTTCAATTGTTAAACTCTGCACACACCACTGAGCACGGACTGACAGTACTGTGAGTGGGTTTTGCTTTTTCACATTTCTACTCTGAATTTTCTGGAGTATAGTTTGAATATTTTTCATTCATACACAATAAAATTCCCACTTTTCTTAAGTATTAAGAATAAAATTCAAATTTGTGAAAGTGCAAGGATGTGTCAATCAAACGCGTCCAGAAATTCGAAGTTTCAATAACTTCGAGATAAAATAAGATTTTTATTATATTTTAGTATGAAATGGTAAAGCAACATATATGTCATGAAATTATACAGAAAATTTGAGAAAATATTAACTTCAAATCTGTGTCCAAGCACCTTTAAGGTTTCATCCGAAAGACCACTTACTTTCACTTTTAGTGCCGGGCGCTTGGCTAACCTATGTTTACGTCTTGGGTTTGACACGGCGCAGCGAACGAGAATCGAACCCGGGCCTCCCGATGCTTCCTACTTCCATGAAGCCTTATGATACATTTACCACAGTGACCTCACTTTCTACTAATCAAGAAAAATATCTTTTAATTTATTTTTTTAAAAGGCTCGTATAAATCTGTTTTCAAAAAGAATTTAAAAAAAGTATATGGGTAAAAATTATTTTCCTTTTTTTTCTTAGCTCGTTGGTATGTAAAACGTTTTCATTTTCATACATAAATAATTTATTTCAAAAATTTGCAATGTAAATTCATGTATGACAATTTTAAGAATTGGAGAATAAAAAAGCGTGAACATGAAATCTATATATTGATTCGTTTTATTAATAATTCTGAAGATGAAGGTAAAAAATGTAATTCGCATTTGAAAACCATTTTAAATATCAATCACATACCAGGTACATGTATATAATATATATATATATATATATATATATATATATATATATATATATATATATATATATATATATATATATATATATATATATATATATATATATATATATATATATATATAGTATAGAACTGGTGTTTAACGGCATAAAGAGGTATAGGCCCTTTCTCTTACTTTTAAAATGGGTTTATTCATTTCTGAAAAAAATTGATGTTTTTAAATTTGCATTTAAAAGGATTGATAAAAGCAAGTTTAGTTTTCCTAAACACACTGCAAGGAGACAACAATTGGAAAAAAAAATGTATATCTTCTTTACATCACCTGTCACAAGACAATTATAATGTCACATGGAACAAATTTGTCTGGATAGTCTTTTTAGAAGACGAAGATAAATGAGTTGTCAAGTAATATATTTGCAAGAGAATATCATTAAAGATGAAAACAAAAACCAAAAAAGCGCCATGATTAGTTTTTTTTTTTTTTAAAACTTTGGTGGTTTTTTGTGCTTTTGAGAGTGAAATTTCAATTTCTATTTGCAGTGAAATGTTTTATTAAAATGAAACTCTCATCAACGGTAGATTTCAATTTTCTGATATCACTCATTATCGAATAAACAAACCTACAAGGATAATTATCAGATTTTATTGTATCGTGTACGAGATTATCTAGGTAAACCCTTACATTGTACCATCAGTTGTTATCACAAAGATAATGTATTGAATCAATCTGAATGACACACTTAGAAATTTGTCAGATATACATGTAACAGTTCTACCCATGTAGCACTAGTTAACATAAACAAGTATTTTTTTTTTAAATCTAAAATATATAGAGTTTTATTACATCAGAAAATCCAATGACTTTTCAAATTGAATAATATTGTGACCGTTCTTTATCAGTTATTAAAATATTATGCTATTTTGGTACTTTTTTTGAAGGAGGTTGGGGGGTTGGGATATTCCTACCCAGAGAAGGTTATTCACCACCGAATTTCACTGAAAAATATTTAGTTAAAAAGGTTACACTGTACAAAAGCAAAATAGCTATATGATAGAAGTATATAAAAGTAGGTGGATGAATGGTCCGTGGTCACTTCTATTAAAAATAGGGAGGGGGTCAAAATTAGTTTAAAAGTTGTTTATTTGTAAGTTACTTTAAAAACACTGGTCAACTCCAGTGACCCAGGCTGATTCACCCACAAAATACACTTCACCTCACCTACACACAATAAGATAACTATGTTCGTACATGTATTATTTGCCGTCACACATCTTGATTTTCCATCTGATAAAGCTAACTCGAGGGGGCCGCCATAGATTTAAAGCGAACGAAAAGTGGTTGGTAAGTACTTGTATAATTTCCTACACATCAACCGGTCATTGAAAAATATTGACTATCTATCAATTGTGCATTGTTTCTTTTTTAGTAGGAGATAACTTGGTTATAATTTAACTTATAGCTTTATTTGAAGAGAAAATGATAAAATAAATACACGCCTACCATGATTACTAATGTCACTGCTAACCAGATAAGTATCTCCTTCATGTATCACGGGATTTCATGTAAACAGTGCTGACGCATTGAATTAGAAATTATGTAAACGGTGAAGGGCCATATATAGATGAAAATTGAACATTCTCTCCATTTTTCTATTTATTTTCACGGACGTTTCCCTTGTGTCTAAATTGTATTTACACAAACTACCCTTAAGATATATCGTATCCATTCAGCCGGAAGCCGGAACATTGTGTTACGACCGTTTTATTTCCTTTCGTTTCGCTGCTTTGTTGAACAAGGAAATCTATAGATAGTTGTAGGACTTTTAAATTTTCTGAATTATTTATAAGGTGAAGTGACGAACGGCTGTTCAATATATTTTACATTGTTTGAACTATTTTACATTAATAGCATGTATGTGCTCATTTTTACTACATGTTTTCCCTACAACCGGCTTCCAGAATTCATATATACATCATGCAATGATCTGTTCTTAAAACAAATGATTAAGACACATTGTCAACTGTCTATCACCTGAAGAAAAACAAAACAGAACACTCGACTGTATCTTCTAAATGTTTTAAAAATTGCTATGGAAGGAAATACGAATAAAAAAAAAAGACTTAGTGTATCAAGTGTCAAAAGCCTATAAACACAGACTTCCATAATATGCATCAATGCTTGTATAAGTAATTAATATTTCTGTGGTTTTGTAAGGAAAACGAAAAATTATTGTCTTTTGGAAGAAATAATCTGGTCATCCTTCATTCTTTGATAAACGTGATGACTTCAATTTTTTAAATCAACTTCCCTTACTTATATAGCAATATTAATATCCTTATAATTATCACCTGCATATGGGGTTTTTGTCTTCCAGTTGATTCGATACGCAAGAGCATTCTCTACGTATGAACAGTTTCTAAAACGAGGCAAGCTATTGACAAACAAGTTGATGAAACAGATATCAACAGTCTCATTTTAAGTCATCATTTCGCAAGTTTTGTGGTCGATACAATGACCTTGTGAGCAAATACATTTGTACAATGAAATATATGGAGATAACGAACAGTATTCAAGCTCAAAAGTCCATTAAAGAATACAAAATAGGAACAGAGCACACATGGACCTCCAGACATCAGAGGTGGGATCAGGTGCCATACAACCTATTATCAAGACAAATCTGACTTAAGTTTTTCATACTAATCGTTAGGCCATTAATTACACACTGAATTGTCTACGATTTTTTTCTTCCATTTTTCCAAATCATGACAAGGAGCACCCAGAGGGTGTGACCGGTCGGCAGGGGATACTCACTCCTCCATAGTACTTAATCCCACCTCTGATGTTTTTGGAGGTCCAAGTTTGCTCTGCTCCCGATTTGTATTGTATAAATGGTCTTTGAACTTGAATACTGTTTGTTATCTCCATATTTCAAAATATAGTATAATTGATTATAAATGGAATAGTAAAATCTTTGATTTGATACTAGTAATCAAGTATTAAGACACTCGGTTTCCTATGTAGAGTTATATGTTTGTATATTTTTAATGATATTAGGAGCCTAGTGTGACTTACCCATTGCATGAAATTTGTGTTCATTTGTCAGATTTATCGATTTCTCATTATGAAGAACAAAGCACGTCACAGAAATCTACTAATCATCGGGGACAAGAATGGGGTACATAAGAATAAGGAGGGGTTTACCAAGAAAAACAAAGAGACTCGCACCACGAAAGAAAATGACCCTAAAAATAGGATAAGTCTAGAATTGTTCATATTCCGTACGTTGTTTGCTGTATTCACTATTGGATTAATTGTATATGGATTGTATATATTGAACATTTCAAATAACAACAACGATACTCACAAACTCAACAGCGAGGACAGTTTTGTTGAACTCGATTCAGATGATTCCGATGAAACCGTACGATCAAGCGTGGGAGAACCTAAAGAACTACACTCGGAACAAAGAGAACTACACTCGGAACAAAAAGAAAATATGAAAGATCCTTCAGAGAAGGTGGACACAAAACCACCCGTGCGGAAGGGTGTAAACACTGAACCGTCCAAAATTTCGGAAAGTCAGTCATCGGCCAAAAATCAAAATAGCCAATTGTCCGAGAAAAATAAGAAAAAGCAATCCAAAAACAAGGGAAAGGATATCAAGGACTTAAAAACAGAGGCCGAAAAGTTTAAACCAACGTATCTTAAGAAGATGTCGCCGAAAAAGATATTCGCTGACGGCCGACGACTTCCACCTGTGGAACTGTTAGCACAAAAACCAAACAACAGCAGCGTCAGGTACATGTACATATAATTACACAATCATTTATTTTTAACACAGAGGAAATTTACAGATATGTTTCGGAATTAAACATATCTCAAATTTTCATCCAATATACAGTCACTATGTTTTAAAATTTAAAGAAAAAAAAACATTATTGAATTTTCTTCTCTTCTGGCTCAAGGGTTTTTCTTTATGACGAGTTCTTATCTGAACAAGAATGTGATGGACTGATGAAAGCCCACGACAGTCATGTAAAAGAATCCTCCAAAATTAACCCCCTACTTTGCTTTGACACCATAGAAACACTGCGAAAACATCTCAAGGCCGCTCACAAAAAGGTCAAAGTCACACCTGCTGATTTTATTCCAGGTAAGATAATTATAATTGCATGTCCACGTATTTTTGTTTAGTTTGTCGAATAAAGCTTCGAGAATGCAGTTGAGACTGAGATTATGAACGACAAAACTTTGTTATTTGAAGTAATCGTGTAGCTATGTCACCCCGAACTACTATCGTGTCCATAGCAACGACAGTTATTTTGAATGATGCATGCACGAGTACCCTCACGATTATCATTTCTGTGTAATTTCATTAAGACTATCCCAACCAACAACGAGAACTCCTACGGACAAAATTAGGTAGAACGTTGTGGGTGACATGATTGCGTGGACCCTGAGGTCCACCCAGAAAATATATAAGTGGGGTTAAACCGGATGCCATGGGCTTACGTCAGGCTACGCATGCGCGAGAATGCTAGAGAGTTCGCCTCTAAGACAACTTGCCCTTAGAACAATTCGCCCTTTTCGAATTAGAATATGCCAATCACTGGGAAACCTCGCTCTAAAATCTGCACATCTTATTTATGTATTCTTTGGCGGTACCAAGATCTGAATTTCTCTTTAATATCCTTATACACTGAACAAAATTGCTAACGCACCCTTGTTATTCTTATTTGTGAATTGATCTTTTGCCTGATCGGTACTAGTATATAAAATATGCAATCTTTTTTTTTCAAAACAGTTGGATTGACAAATGTCTTGGTGTCATGACAAGACCCTTAACGGACCTTCTTGCCCGAAAACCAATTTTCCCACGAGCACTGTGCACCGTTTTTGCCAAGATATGAAGATATGGTGATTACCGAAGGTGGTCCGTGAGGTTGCAACAGGAGCAGTCTCCCACTTAAAAATCAAATAATATACCCTGATTGACTACTATATTGCTTAGTAGTCATCCAGTGTCTTGGTGTCCTTATCAAATCCACCCAACTTCCGGTTGCCCCAGTTTTGTGGAACAATCTTGAATTTATTGTGTGGTGCTTACTAAGTGATGTCGATGTCTATAGTAAACATTTTTATGATTGTTAATTCATTTGCAACACTTTTTCATTAGAGGAATGAATAATCTTTTAGCTGTTTTAATTTTTCACAAAGTTCTCCAAAGAAACCCCCTGCGGACACCATACTGACTGCCTTATCACCTTCTTCTAGGGTCAAACGCCGCATACGGTGTAACTTTTTTGCTGAGTTTTTAATTAGTACAAACATAAAAGAACACAACCACAAAGAAAAAATAGAATTTTTTTCCACCAAAAAAGTATGGACACGATTTTTTAATTTTTTCTATGAAATGGTTACACTTCAGTAAACATTGTTGTTATTCATCAGTTAAGAATTGAAATGCCTCATTTTTTATTAAATAACATAATTATATATCAAAAACATCATAAACAAGTTTTGAAAAGAAAAAAATATTAATTTATTTTGGTGGTGCGTTAGCAATTTTCACTAGAAAAAACAACTGCACGTGTTATGAAACTGGTGCATAGTTCCTCATGTCTGTAGCAAATACCGTCACCAGTCTAAGCGTCACTAGCAAACAGACCTGTGCTTGCAAGACCAAATAGTCTAGTGGCCGGTTGCGTACTTCGGATTTAAACCTTCGATCAATGATTCATCAGGGTTTAAATCCAAGTTTACGCGTTGCACACAGGTAAGGCTTGGCTGAGTACAGCTCAGAATTAGGGTAAATTCTGAACCTGGTGTAGAGGTGGTTTAAACCAAGTGCTAGATATCGTTTCCATGGATTTTTGGTAGAATATTTTGATATTTTGAACAGTTTTGATGTTGCAGAAATGTTTTGTTTAAGGTGACGATGATTGCATTGATAGATTTCGCCGTATTAAAAAGGCTATTCTACAAGAATTTTTTTATGGTCATATTGTTTTTTTTTTTGTTTTTTTTGTTTTTTTTTTTTTTGCACAACTCTTCAATGTGCCGTTTTAACACTGATGTAACTGAAGTATAAATTTACTAGAAATATTTTCAAAGGGGAATTTATTGGGGTACACAAATTTACATTAAAAAGAATTTTATAGCGAGCGCAGCGAGCGGCGCGAAGCGCTGCTCGCAATGCGAGCTCTAACGACGACGCCTGGGCAAAAAGAAAATTCGGACTTACACATTGATCCAAACGATTTTTTTTCCGCAGTAACTTTTGGACCCACAATGCATCGCTTGTTTAAGCTTCGTTCTCGCGAGAATAACAACAATAGTTTACCAAAAAATAAACTCGTCTTGATTTAATGGATATATTGCAGGTAAATAGTTAATAAAACGTTCTTCATTAAAGTCAACAATGTTCAGTCTTCGGTTTGGTAATGCAACTTAAATACGACGTCATGTGACGTCAGAGTCTAGACGCACCGCCAAGTGTAATTTGACGATCGATCCCGATCTGAACTAAACCTGAATAAATATCTGCGCTCGCCCTAACAGTCGCACCGTCAACATATTAGAAACTTTCTCATATACAAATTTAAATCAAATTACTATTTTCACACTTTCAAACAATGCAAACAGTTGATGATACACATTCCAATAATTTCTAATAATGCCGAATTCTTTAGATATAAGAAAGTTTATTGCGTGGAACCTGAGGTCCACCCAGAAAATATATAATGGAGTTAAACCGGATGCCATTGGCTTACATCAGGCTACGCATGCGCGAGAATGCTAGAGAGTTCGCCTCTAAGACAACTTGCCCTTAGAACAATTCGCCCTCTTCGAATTAGAATATGCCAATCATTGGCAAACCTCGCTCTAAAATCTGCACATCGTATTTATTTATTCTTTAGCGTAACCAAGAATTTCTGAATTCCTCTTTAATACATATATCCTTGTATACAAACTAAAATCTATGGTACATGCATTTTAAATAAGTAGGAAAAACTTATGTAGATAGCTTAACAGCTTGAACATGTTGAATTAAAAACTTAATTCAAATACCAGGTTTTAAAATATTTACCGGCATTAGTTTTGTGCATCAAGGTTCGCAAAATAATTTGATTGACAGCAATCCAAATATAGCTCGATAAAGGCCTGTAGCAATGTTTTTCCATGTGGGGGAGAGGGATAAACACCAAAAAAAAATCTGCATATTACAGATTTGTGCTACATGTGCACCATCTATCTTTCCAATGATAGGATATCTTCCGTATAAATCTAGTGCAGATGTCAAGTCCCAGCCGTTATAGGTTACATGTATCGAAATAGCCCGAATTTTTTAAAAATGACAAAACTATAGGCCAATCGGGAATAAAATTTAACAACTTTGCTATGAAAGTACAGTCTCCCAAAGTAGGCAGTTCATTGTAGAAAATGTTGACGAAAGGTAAACCTGTGCCACCTTTCTAAGTCACCAATGAACTCGTCCATGGATGCATTGACGGTCATTGTATCAAGAATAGATATGGGTTACCCCATATCCAAGATATTCGACTTTTAATTTACTCCAATTTTCACTAGAAAAAAAAAAAAACTGCACATATTATGAAACTGGTGCATAGTTCATGTCCGTAGCAAATACCGTCACCAGTCTAAGCGTCACTAGCAAACAGTGCACACACCTGTGCAAGCTTGCAAGACCAAATAACCTAGGTCTACACACGTGCGATGAGATTGTCAATCGCATCTTCTCAGACCTTCTGGCGAACTCGGAAAAACGCGTTGTTTTGCCGAGAAGTTACGATTGCATGTGTTGTATATTAACCATTCCGTTATTTAAAAGAGACAGAAAATAAACACACAAAATTAATTTTTTTGTGTGTTTTTAAATTGATCGAGTTAATCGATAACATAGCATCGTTTTAGATAACTCGAGACCCTCTAGTGCCGAGACCCTCTAGTGCTTCAGTACAGGGTCGGATTCAGCAGTTTTTGAAAAGGGGGGGGGGGGGTTCTAGGTCACACTGCAGGCACTTATATTCAAGTCCGTAGCAACAGTTTTCAAAGGGGGCAACCTCCACAAAGAGTTGACAAGCAACAATAAATAAATAAAGTAACTGCACCACACTGTAAAATTCTATTGCGGGGGGAGGGGACTTCGTCTAAACTTTTTGATTTCTTTTAAATGTTTGATTGTCCGTATTTTGAACCTTCCCGCAACAAAAAGTGCGGGGGAGCTTCCAATGCAAATGAAAACTTACATGTATATATTCAAATTATAACAAAAGATTATTTTTTAAGAGAAAGTGAGCCCCCCCCCCTCCCCAACATATTACGTGGACATTTTGAACCTTTCTCTTTATTGATTAAAATATCCCCATAATATAAGGAGAAAAATATTCTCTTATGGATACTCCCTTTCATGACTTTTTATGCATACTTCTTAAAGTTAGTTACTTCAGAAGGTGGTCCAAAAATAGCTATGTCTTCCAATGATAAGGAAGTGAAATCTTTCATGTTACGTGTGGGTGGTCGAGGCCCGGGGCCGGGGTTGTGAAAGTACCAGGAGAAAAGCAATAAGCAAACTCCATCTAGAGAGCAGAGGTTGAAGTACTTATTTTATTGAAAATACTAGACGTAAAAATATCTATATTACAGGAAAAACACACTCTCTCTCTCTTCCTCTTTCTGCAAAAATAAATGGGGTTACAACATCCGACACCCCCCCCCCCCCCCAATTTCTTGGATCCGCCAACGGAGTTACAATTCAACCATAACGACACCTGCACGCTTAGGCCTCTTTTAATTCTGTTGTTAATTTTAAAGGCTACTTTACCAGTGTTTACGATTTTGATAGATACCTAGATCTTCTCAAAAGAAGCGGTAGCGAATTCGGAACATCTAATTTTAATTAGATTGAACATTTCACATTCACATAATTTCAAGGTCATGGTTTTTTATCATTACAGCCTAACTAAGCAGACTTAAATAACGATGAAAATTACAAGACACATGTAAAAAAAAATAAATTTAATTACACCTTTGTAAAATCACTAAATCTAGAAATTTTCTTTGAATTTTGTGTAGAAATACATGCATATGGTCCACGTATTGCAGTCCTTTTTTAAAGGACAGCAACTTGTTAATATTCATAACCTAGGTTATTCATATTGTAAGACCTGTTCAATTGCTGAATATTTTTCAGGTACATTTTGTGTGAATGAAACATTTTCTCGACAGCTCTCTGGATGGTTAAAGTCAAACTGGAGTTATAGTACGGCCTTTTACCCGGGTGAGAGTAGATTCTCGAAGATTTTTGAATATCGAGTCAAAGAAGCGACACAACTATTGCCGGAGAACGGCGGGAAATTTCAAATTACAAGTTATCCACAAGGAATAGGTATATTATTAATAATCATTGTAAGTGCAATTATTACAATAAAAATTATGTTAAAAATTATTTTAATCTGGAATTTTATTATCATAATAGTTTTATTTCACTTGACACAATACATGGCTTGAAAAAATTCACCTAATATTTTCTTAGATTAGTTGCAATAAAACCATTATTATATGATTGAATAATTACTAGCTCTCTGATTGGGTTAGATTCAACATTGTAGGAAAATACAACGTTGTGTTAACCTGCATGTGACCTTCCTAGTAAACATAAGGATTTATTTTTCCTACATTGGACTAAGATTAGATTTAGAACTTCCAAATTGATACAAATAGTTCTGGAAAGTTATTTTACTTGCTTAAACATCTACTCTGGTGAACATAACATTCAGGTACATAAAATCTTGGGTGAGAGTGGGGAGCAGGGGGAGGGCTGCCCTCCTCCCACAATTTTTTTTCGAGTGTAAATTCATAAAATTAGTATTCAAATGTAAGGCTGGTTCCCCCCTACCTCCCAATAAAATTTGGGGTTTGGAGAATTCTCCTCTTTTCTCGGGGGGGGGGGGAGGGGGGAGGGGGAGGGGGAGTTAGATAAAGAAATTTTCATGTGTCACTTTTTATCCTTTTAATGCTCCCCTCTTTCAAAATGGTTTCCTACGTGCCTGAAAGTTATTTTTTCTACATCACACCTAAAAGAGATTGAAAATTCCAAATTTTAAAATACAACTGGTTAAGTTTATTTTAAACCTGCTTCACTCATTGCTTTTGGCTATCTACGACTTCAGCATATATATACATGTAAGATGGCATCAATTGCTAAAAATGTTTCTATCATATAATCATTGAATCATAAATTAAAAAAATATTGTTGTTTTTAGTTTATACGATGATTTAGGCGCCTTCGAAGTACAATACTCACCTCGTTCTCAGGACTCATTGAAAATTGTACTCCTCAGGTGGCTAAATCATCGTATTGATCTCAAAACAGCAATAATTGTATGTATTGTTTATATATTCTCTCAGCCTTTTCATGAACAAAAATTATTTTTTGAAATGATAAAACCAATCATTCCCTTTGGGCAACTTAGCATACCTTTCTTCTGATAAAAGACTCAGAATTCATCAATATAGTTTCAATGCTAAAGATGACGAATCTGAAGATTAAAAACATTCAGTGATTTTTATGTGGTCACGATATTGAAGGATACAAGACTCATACGGATTGTGTGGAAGGCAATGTTGACGAGAGAGACAGAATGGCCACCATATTGGTATATCTACAGGACGTAGAAGATGGAGGCGAAACTAAATTTCCAGGTATGTAGAAAAAGGCAATTAAAAAGATTGACATATTTGCAATATGCTGTGTGATATAATTACAGCATGACTTTTCTATGTTATTTATAGTTCACGAATATCACTTTTTATGTTGAAAGGGTGGGTGCAAGAGAAAAAAAAAAACATATTTCAAAATTCGTTTCCACTAACAAATATCGAAATACACAAGTAAATTGTAAAGTATGGAAATTTGTTTGACACTGACAGAGAGACCTTTGCCTAGATAATATGAAGAATTAAAATTTATTTGAATAACTGTTTATTGAACAGAACTAGGTATCTGGGTGAAACCCCGAAAGGGACGCGCTCTGGTTTGGAACAACATGAATGAAGAGGGCAAATGTGAACCAATGTCCATACACAATGCTGCAGTGGTCAATAAAGGTCACAAATACATTATACAGAGATGGTGAGTTCTGGATTGCTTGTTTCAAAAATATGCGCGACAGTAAAATCATGCTTGAAGTCAATATAACAGGTCACAAGGGTCATGAAATACACAGTGAGTCTAGAAATATCATGCTAATAGATACAAAAAAAAAAAAAAAAAAAAAAAAGAAAAAAGAAAAAAAAAGAATCGATTTTAGTTAAACATTACCAATTTTATGATATCTGCGAGAGTTATGAAGAAATGATACAGGAAATATAGCTAAAAGTCATGATTGGTCATCAATAAAGCATTTATTCTAGATCTTTGTTTCACACAGGTACTACTACAAGAGTTTTTATTCCCTTGGTAAACGTCCACCGGAACCAGACCTACCTGCGCGTGCGCCTGGGACACCTCGAGTTAATTGTGACGAGTATGAAAATGGAAGCTGTCGTTGGTACGATGAATGGAATTATGAACATCTTGTCGATTACAGAAATCAAAGAATAAATCTCAAATAATAAATAAATGCAATGTGTTCTTTTGTAAATATTTTTAAGATTTCACAAACGATCTTTGAAAACACGTTGTACCTGAACTAAAAAAAAAACACACCTGGTACCTGACCTGGTACCTGACTTGATTTCACAAACGATGTTAGAAAACACGTGGTACCTTAACTAAAAAAAAAAAAAATCTGGTACCTGACCTGATTTCACTAACGATCTTTGAAAACACGTGATACCTGACCAAAAAAAAAAAAAAAAAAAAAAAAAAAAAAAAAAAAAAAAAAACCTGGTACCTACATGTAATCTTGAAAAAAAAAAACTCTTACAAATAGTAAATCTTTCCATGTTTAAAAAACACATTGAAAGAAAAACGAGCAATAAAGCATTCAAAGAAAGATAACGTGCTTCGGTTCTAAGAGTTTTTAGGTTGTTAATTTCTAAATTCAAAAGTATCTACTTAAATTATACACAGAAAATCAATAAGAATAAAAATTGTCAGGATTGAATCAAAACCTTTTTGTACTTTGTCTGCCTAAAAACGGTAGTTATTTCTTACTTAAAAGGGCAAAACCTTGCGATTTGAAGAAGAATATATAACTTATATAGATTATCTAAACGAAATGGACAAAGGCTTTCTTTCGGATTTCCTCTGGAAAAGCATTTACAATATTTATTAACATTCAAATCAATTTGTTGTTGCAATATTTTTACTTAAGTAAACTGGCAAGACTCTTCATACATGAGCATTGGTCAAGTATATTTTTCATAGACGAATAAATAATTTGAGTTATTCTACAAGAATCCAGTACTTTTATGGCGACCATTGTTAAAAGAGTACTATAGATAATATAAATTGTAATTTATAGTTAACTAAGGTAAAATATAGATATCCAAGGAAATTCAAGGCTTCAAAGTTTTGGCTTTTCTCACAGGAACTCCCCCCCCCCCCTCCATTCTAGAATATACACCCCAAGTTCAAGTTATTTTTCTAGCACACATTTAGGAGGGGGTGATTAAAACGTTCGCGAACTAATTGAATTACTTTCATATAAAGAAATAGAATTAGGTTTCAGAGATCATTATTTTTTAAGGTAGTCATCTCCGATTTTAATGCACATCTGCCACCGTTCTGTCCATGCGCGAATCACGTGATCCAGGCGGTCACGTGACATGCTCTGTATTGTTCCGTTCACAGAAACTGAAAGCTTTTTTTGAGTCTTACATTTCTTACCATGCAAGTTATTTTTTATAACAAGAATAGTCCATTTGTCAAAAATGGCCAAATCTCGGCAATAGGATGGATGGATAAGGATATCCTTCCCCAGAAAGAGCATGGTGACTATCCCAACCCGAGTCCTCTGTCTTTGGAAGCGCCGTTTATCCAATATGGATAAAGTATGGACGCCTTCTTTTAATCATATCTATTGTAATTGAAGTCTTAATTAGTAAACGTATTTCAGGAATTTAATAATTATATTATTAAGATATTCAACAAGTTTTTCAACTGTAACTTGGCGATCTTTCATAACAAATTGCTCAACTAAGGACACATCAGCTTGCTTTCACTGGGTAACAGAAAAAATGTCATTTTTAACAATCTCCCTTTCTTCACTAAAGCAATCAATCCAATTAATTATTAAACTTCTAGCACGTCTTTTGTCTTTATAAACCTTGTACAAATTATATGCTACTGCCAAGGAATTTCCAAGATATACGTTAAACTTTAAAGCCTTTCGTTACTCGAATACGACTGAGTTAACCATTTCTTGTCACGAGTTTCCTACAGATTGACCTCATTTTCACATTGTGACCTCATAAACATGGAGCAAATTGAAAACATCACATAACAACTGCTATTTAAAGAACGTGTATGATTATACATGTGCCATGTTTCATTCTGATCTGAATTGTGGTTTTGTAAATATAGAGATTATTCGCGAACTTTTTGATCACCCCTCGTACAATGTATTCCATATGGAAAATCTAAAAAAAAAACATATTTAATAAACCTTTAATTAACCTTTAATAAACCTTTAAAAAAACATACCCGCGGTTTTGAAAAGAGAAAAGGTTTGTCACTTTAGTTTGTTTACATTAGCTTCCTTTTGGAAATCAGGCCTAAAATATCATTTACCTATTTCAGGTTATCCAAGTGTGTTCTCATACGTTAACGTTGTTTCGGTAGATATTTTTGTCTTTAATCGTGCTTTTTTAATTGTCCATGCATTCTTTTATAATCAACTATTCATCATAAAAACAAAATTTGCATTTGGAAATGTCAAAGCAGAAAGTACGAAAGTGACGCGAAAACGACACCTATTGGGTAACTTTAGAGGTCTGAGTGTTATTGAAATCAAGTGAAAAGCTAGAGGTATACGAAAAAGATCGGGGAAATTTCAATAAAGAAGCCAATTCATAAGATTTTTACTTTGCTGCGGGTTTTCAATAAAGGTAAGGTTGTAAGTCAATAATATTTAAAAGACTTTATCACTGGTGCCAAATAGCATCAAAAAAACTTGCTAATAAGTTATCAAACTGAAATAAATACATTGTAATATAAATCAATGGGAAACGTTTTAGCTATAAAATGAATGAGCTATGGAACTAATATTGGTGAATATTGGCACTCGTTGGCTCGCAAGCTCGTGCATTTGTACAGCCAAATCATGCCAATATTTTCCAACATAAGTTCAATAACCCTATATTATCACGATGTTTTTTTTATGGTATTATTTCTTTTTATAGTAGTTCTTGAAATGGACACACTACTTCCTGATTTCAAGAGGTTTTTCTGACGATCCCGTAATGATTGCCAAGTCAGTTTATGTTCCGACCGTATCAGTAAACAAGTGGACATGCTTACATCCCTAACACATAATATTGTTTCTTACAAGACCAAAAAGATACAATTGGTGTTTTCTGAGTATGAATTCCACCCCAACCAGAGATGTGAGGCTTATTGTCAACAATGCGATGTCCCAGTGCGCATCAAATGTTTCTTGGCAACCATAAAGCTCACGATGCTGTCAAATTATCTAATATAGAAGGGGAAAAAAAGGAAAAAATTGAAAAAGAGACAAAGAAACTTGAAACTTTTATCATTCCAAAGTGCCAGAAGAGTGAGGTTTATATCAAAAGTAAATTTTCAAATGCACCGTTAGATTTAGAACTAAGAGAATACAAGACTACACTGACACAGCTATTACTCTCCAGTCTATTATTGTTGAAAGAGCTACTTGACAAATGCAGAGCTAATGCAACCAGTTCAACTGGAGTTAAACCACTTTAGAGAGTAGCCTGTGTATGAGCAGATGAAGCTTGGATGACTGGAGAAGATCAAATCATAAGACGTGTTGACAGACACGGGTTCATCATTGATAACGTCAAGACGACACGTAGGGAGTTTCCTGATGTCAACATAGTGACCAGACAGGGAGATCTGATGCATAGTGTTGGTGAAAATGGAACTGTGAAGATTGTCAGACAGGAGAGAACAGAGGTAATGTTAACTACACCAAAGGGTTTTAAACCAAGGGAACCGTGCCGTACAGAGTCGGGGGACATTCTCGTTAATCTGCATAATGAAAAACGAAACAAAATCGTTCGTTATCAGGGAGAAACAGTGAAAGAAGACATATATAAAGATGACAGTGAAAAAGATATCGTTAAAAATGGTGATGATTTGCTGCTTTTGTACGAGAACAACAATTGAGACATTTGTGTCTGATCTTTATCCTAACACTGTGGTTGTATTAGATAAAGCAAGGAGAATCCGATTCCGATATGACGGTACATCTGCCAGGAAAGAAGGGGCTTTTGTTTCTACATAAATAGTGTATTACTCCATGAGTCAAAATTGTGGCATACGTCGCGGGTTCGAATCCCACTGTGGGACGTGGAGACCGGTCCTTCGGAGGAGACCGTATAAACCGAGGTTCCGTGTCGCAGTAGGTGCTGGCTTGAAAAAGATCCCTCACTGCTCAATGGCCCTGAGTGCCGAGTATAGGTCAAAATTTGCAGCTCTCCACCGGCAAGTGGTGGCGTCTCCATATGAGTGAAAAATTCTCGAGAGGGACGTTAAACAACAAACAAATAAAAAAAAATTGTGGCAAAAAATACCTGTCTACATATACTTCATTAGGTGTGGAGCCAGTTGTTGACTAGATAAACCCGGTGGAGAGAGAGTTTTGACATTGAGGGGAGGTTGTGATAAGGATTGGTTATTTTAGGAGAAGAGAAAGTGATTCAATGCATGAAATAAACCATTGATATAATTTTAGATATTCAAATAATTTTGGATACTCCTAGAGTGTGCAAAACCATATATGGTAAGAGGTCCTTTAAATTTCAAGCTGCAACATACTGGATTAAACTACCCGAAAATATCAAAATGGAAATACATTGTAACCAATTTAAGAATCAATCTGAAACAATATTGGAGCGGCTAAAAATGTTCATGTGTAATTAATGGCCATCACATTTGAACATGGACTTAGCGCTTTATTGGTATTTTATATCGTTCTTTCTTTCAATTTTATATGAGCTTACAAGTGTGCATGGTGAAATCTGCTTTAATAAAACATGTGCTTCAAATGTATGTGATTTATTAATTGTGACATTAAAATGGCTCTCCTAAATGTGCTAGCTAATTTTAATGTTAGATATGTTTATTTATTTACCGACGATTAGCACTTGATATATGTACTCTTTCAATTTCCAGTACCATATCCGACAAATAAAAACATACGGAATATCTTACATAAAACATCGCGTCATCTTCAGTAAATATTCATCTGTTCAAAACCCCAGTCACATTTCCAAAAATGACCAACGACCGACGGTTTTTTAGGCAAAAATAGGATTCTTCGGGCGACAGCCGGCTTTTCATCGGCCGTTGTCTTGCCCGATTTTGACTTCTTTGATCGTCAGCCGATCAATTTTGTGTCTGTCGGGCCAATATTTTTTTCTGCGTCGGTGACCGATGCCTTCAATTGAAGCAGTCGTTGAATAGTCCGTCAAACAACGTTAACCTTCGATCATCGTCCGACCATCGGCAGACAGTTTGTTAAGTCGGTCGTCGGAACTGGGTTTTCGTAAATGTAGGCCGACGGTGAAAATCAAACTGCTGCTTAGCGAACGATTGATTGATTGATTGTATGTTGTTTAACGTCCCTCTCGAGAATTTTTCACTCATATGGAGACGCCACCACTTGCCGGTGGAGAGCTGCAAATTTTTGTCCTATACTCGGCACTCAGGGCCATTGAGCAGTGAGGGGTCTTTTTCGTGCCAGCACCTACTGCGACACGGGGCCTCGGCTTATACGGTCTCATCCGAAGGACCGGTCTCCACGTCCCACAGTGGGATTCGAACCCGCGACGTAAGGATCAACTCCTTACTTCGCAACTCTAGAGCAGACGCTTTAACCACTGCGCCACGCGGGCGACCTTAGCGAACGATGATCGGGCGACTATTGGCTGACTTAGAATTATTTAATTTTTGAAAATTATTGGTGTTCTAAGGAATAAATGTGACTGCTCCAGGTCGTCCGATACCAGTGTCGGCCGATCATGTTTCTCAGCCGACGATACGAGAAAAATTTGGTCGCCCGATCATCGGCTTAAATGTGACCAAGGTACAAGGAATCATTGTCTAATTTTTTGCGTATGCCATGACATCAACGATAGTTGGAAACGGGGGAAAATTTGCATAAAGGGACGAAGCCCCAACAAACTAGACATTGATCCCTTATATTTACATTTATATTTGGAATAAAGATCTGCTTTAATAAAACCTGTGCTTCTCATGTATATATGAATGGAAAATACTGTCAGTTATAATATAATTAAAATACCAGAGGCATTCCATGTTATTTTTTATAGCCCCGCCCACTGACTGTCATGACTTACTATAAAAATAACCCTACAAAAACAAATAAAAAAGAAATAAACTACAAAAATTATGGACATAAATTTAATGATTTTTGATTTCTGTGGTAAATAACCATTTATTAAATGAACAAGAAAAAAATTTTTATATTGTGATCGAAGTTATTTGACCAACTTTGATTAAATATGTATCTAGATCTTGTCCGAACCTCACACACGCTTTTCACTTCTCCTTCGCAATGTTTAACGTCAGGCTACAATTTATGAAACGAAAATTGGCGTGAAAATCGGTTTGTATAGATGAAAAAATAGCAGATGATTTGGAGCATTCTTTTTTAACACTATCAGTTGACAAGGGCTGAGTATATGGAACGATACCTGCAATAGTTGATAAGGTTGGAATGTATTTGATGACTTCTCGGGTGTTGACGAAGACTGGATTTTTTTAACCCTTGGTGATTAACGACAACGTTGCGCTTGCGACTTTCTTTTGATATGAACACAGTTTTCTGCAGTACCATTGGATGGAAGTCTCATTCCTTTGTCCGGGCATATAATTATAAATTATATGAAATGATTCGAATCCAACATCATTCATAGTAGAGATAGCTGTTGCGTGGATATACAGTGTGCTGGATAGCGTTCATATCCTCTCTTTTTGCAAAAATCAGGTAAGAAATTTACGAATGTTCTCTGGGTCAAAGGTTGACATGTATACCAGTGTCCATGCCTCATTGTCTCTTTCATACATTTTTTAAACAGATTTGTAATTGTTGACGGTTTTTAAAAGGCAGAACTTTAGCGTTTAAAAGGGCAAATTGAGGAATGTGTTACGTATATTCGTTTCTCGGTCATTTTTTTGATTTTTTCGAGCCAGCGTTGGTAGTTTTTAGCTTTGTTCCGTGAGTGAGACAGACGTAGGTCACGCCATTTTCGTCGGTTTTGAACTCGAAAGAGTCTTTTTTAAATTAATAATAATAAAGCTTGTGGTAAAAAGTTAATTACTATTGTATATCATACTGCAAAACGCAGATTGATTGCTGAGGAAAATGTTGTTTCTAGAAAAGATGAATCTTTTATTTCAAGATTATTTCCTTGTGTTTTGTGGGGCGAGATGCTACCGCTGTCATCCGTTGTTTTAGAATGCCATTCAGGCATCTGTTTGCCGTTATGAATGTTTTATCATTGACAATATCAATATGCCTTCCAAGATCTGATAACCGTCGGTTGATTGCAGAACGTATGCCTTTCAAGGTAGTTGAACCGTACTCTTCATTTAGTGTCTTGCATGGTCTAGCTTCGCAGTAAAACTGGTTAAGTTTAACGGCTAATTCTTCAGCGCTTATTGAAGAAAGGTCAATGTTGTGGTCGAAAGTTTCCAAATGCCAATCTACAAACTTTGCTATTATTGTTTTATATTTGTATATTATTACATTGTATTTTATTTTTGTATAGAATTATTTTATTTGCATATAATTGTTTTATTTAAATGATTTTAAAAGATGCTTTATCTATAATAATTTTTACATGTATACGAAATAATCTGGATAGTATGATTTATGTAATAATATTTTGTTTTGAAGTATAAATAATTTACCGTGTAATACTTTAACACCCCATTTGGTGTGTCTTTTGGTGTTCTCGGATTGAGTCATTTCCTGGTATGTTAGCAACTGCCCATCAGTAGCTTTCCAAAATGGAGAACTTGCACTTGGCGTTTCAGGGGGAGGGAAATCTAGGTCCATTGGCTTATAAAGATCCATATGAAATGAAGATTGAGATTCATATGGAACTAGATCCGAGGCGTTAATGGACGCAAAAAGAAAGTCAGCTTCTTCCTCAGTAAATATGTTTAGATCAAGAAAAGGATCCACTGCCTCCTGTTGATCTGAAGATGGGGGTTTTATTGGAACTAGGTCTGATTCAATACCTGGAATTAACGCAAGCAGTAATTTAGCAAAATCATCTTCAATTCCATTCAACTTCAATATCAATTACTTCAAACTTCAATTAACAAACTTCAATTTACAATTAAACTTCATTTACCAAAATTATTTGAACAATTTCAGATGGATTCGGTGAGTGATCTTCTTATCAAGTCCACAATTTGCCTCAAGAAATATTCAATGTTTGCATTTGGGACAAATACATGTATAGCTTAGGATTAAAGGGTGTGTCGTGAACCTGCATTTATTGTGAAATTTATGTATCAGTAGTATTTATAATTTTGTTACTGACCTACCAATGCTCACTTAGGACATAAAAGTTGAAGGTGACAGTACTTGTGTGCAGTGCTATCAAAAGTGCACTTTTCAGTCTGTTCAATCCCTTCAGGTCACACTACAGCTATTTTGATAAAAATTAACAGCTAGATTCACTTTATGCATTTAATGGCCCTACAGATATACTTCTTTATTTACTTACACCCTTTCCCTTTTTAAACATCAATATAAAGAAGAGACTTAGCGCTTTTGTTTCCTCAGGGAGTCCAGGTATTGGGAAATAAGGCCTCGTGAAATTGCAATGTTCTTGAATTTTGCGGAAAACAAGTGAATTTGAATACCGTAAGCAAAGAGTAAAAATATATGTAGATCACGGGCCCTTTCCTCCATCGAAAAATTGAGACATTTTTTTTAAAACTCATTAAATAGTTCTATCATGATATAATTGCAGATTTTGGCTCAAAGGATGTGCTCTTTACAAAATTTTGAAAAACAGCTGGAACTTTTGGAAGATTTTAGATGTATATATATTAAACAAGAGCTTTAGCTGATTAACTTTTTATGGTATATTGTGAAGTTAATATTTCAGGTCAGTTGCGTATGT